TATCCTAGATCAGTGGTTGGCAAACTGCGGCCCCTTGAGTGTGGCTCTTCCACAAAATATCACGTGCGGGCGCACACATACAGTGCAATTGAAACTTCGTGGCCCATGCGCAGAAGTCGGTATTTTGTGGAAGAGCCACACTCAAGGAGCCAAAGAGCCGCATGTGGCTCACGAGCCGGGTTTGCGGAGCCGCAGTTTGCCGACCACTGCCCTAGACCACAGCCCCGTCCGTGCCAGACACGATTCTGCACCGCGGTGTTCGCAGCAGATGTCCTGCACTGAGGTGTTTACTGCCCGGGCCGCCCACCTGTCACTCATGACCTGGAGTCAGGTCGCGGCAAAGGGACTCCACAGATGCTGGCGAAAATGACTCGATCTTCCCTTTGTGCAGAGCTCCCTGGAGGACAGGAGCCTGGAACCCGTCACCTCCGTCGCGCTTCAGGTCCTGAGGCAGTGCTACCCCAAGAGCCCCCTTCCCTTGGTCACGGCCAGCAGTGCCTACGCCTTCCCCGCCCCCGGGCACCTCCCGTCGGAACCCCCACGCCGTCTCGCTGAAGGTAAAGTAAGTGGGTGTCTGTGAGCTTTACAGCGAGTTTTTATTTATTTTTTAAAGATATTTGTATTGATTTCAGCGAAGAAGGGAGAGGGAGAGAAAAGATGGGAACATCCATGATGAGAGAGAATCGTGGATCGGCTGCCTCCTGCACAAGACATCATTAGGTCTGGCCCTGCCCAGGCGTTAGGGGTGAGTTAATGAGACGTTTGACCAAACAGAGCAGGCTAATTTGTAAGTTGATCATTTTGTGTGGCCCGCGGATGATGTTATAAATATCCACATGGCCCAAGGTTCCCCACCCCTGGCCTAGTCGGCCACTCCACCCGGTGGCGGGCTCTCCGCATCCTCTACCATCTACTCCCGTGACTCGATGGCCTCAGAAACCCCTTAGGAATGTCCCGCGGGAGGCTCACCCTGGTCAGCTTTGTGGGCCAGGTTAGTAGCTAAAACATTTACTAAGAGAGTGAAGAGAACGGCCATTTCTTTTTTCTTTTTGGCCAAAGAGATAACCAAACTCCTCCCAACTCTCTCTCTCGGTTTAGTAAACTTGTCCTCACATTTGTCACAGTGCCTGAAAAGAAGGGTCTTGTCATGTTCCCTCCATATCAAAAGGTCACATCTGCAAAGCCCACTTTTTCTTGGCTGTGGGGGGGTCCCAAGAAGGGGCCGCATGGTGGGCTGTGAGAGGCGGCCTGTTATCTCATTTACGTGCGTGGGATTCACTTAGTCTTTCCCTCCGGTTTCCTATCCTATCCTTCTCCTTCATACATTTCTCTCTGGCTCACAGCTGAGAGAGGAGCGGAGGCCTTCCATCCGCTCAGCTCCCCACTCTCTCATTCGCAGTGACACCTGGG